CTCTTCTGGAAGAGTAGTCTTGATCCAGCAATTCTACTTTAGGCAATGGGTCCTTAGAAAACAGTTGTCAAGGGGCCAGGCGCCATGGCTCATGCCTGTAATCCCAGCACTTCGGGAGGCCGAGGCGGGCGGATCACCTGAGGTCAGGAACTCGAGACCAGCCTGGCCAACATGGTGAAACTCTGTCTCTACTAAAAATACAAAAAATTAGCTAGGCACGGTGGTGCATGCTTGTAATCCCAGTTACTCGGTTGTCTGAGGCAGGAGAATTGCTTGAACCAGGGAGGTAGAGGTTGCAGTGACTTGAAATCGTGCCATTGAATTCCAGCCTGGGTGACAAGAGCTACAACTCCATCTCAACAAAACAAAACAAACAAACAAACAAAAACAGTTGTCAAGGGATCACAGATATCTGAATAAGGATGTTCATTGTGGCATTGTTTATAATATCCAGTAATTGAAAAACTTAAACATCCTACAATCAGGGCCTGGATATGGCATATTCAATCATGGACTGTTACAAAGCCATGGTAAGTAAGGACATAAGATGTGGGTTATCAAATGTAATTGGTGTAACTATCACCAGGTAAGCTTGTTAAATGCAGATTCCAGGCTCCAGAGCTAAGTTTGATTTAGTGGGACTGAAGTGGGGCCCGAGAACCTCCATTTTAAAGCATCTCCCTTCTGTGAATCTGATGTGAATTTTCCTCAAACGACTTTGAAAAGCACCAACATAAAATGCTATTTAATGACATGGAGAGAGTTCATGCTACCTTGTAAAGTTTCCAAAGTGAGTAATAAAACATCATGTTTAGTATGATCCAAGTTTGATTTGATTATACACACACAGAGAGAGACAGAGAGAGAGAGAGAGAGAGAAACAGAGAGACAGAGAGAGAAACAGAGAGAGAAAGAGAGAAGGAAATCTAAATTCATACCAAAATCTTAATAATGGTTACTTCTGAGTAGTGAACAGAAGTCATACGATTTTTTGCCTTAAACCATCTCTTCTTAGTTTTAAACAATAAATGATAGTTAATAAAAATATTAAATGTTATATTTTTTAAAAAAGAAAGCAGAAGAGTGTAAAATCTCTTTGGGAAATTTTTTTTCATCAAAATATTTGAAAAGGCAGCTGAAAATCAGATGTGATGCTTAAACAGTCAAATCTCAGTTATCCAGAAAGGGATTCTCTTGGACACAACAGATTCCCTGAGCATGTCAGATGACCAAGGCTTGGCATAGCCACTGCTTTAGCTGTGTTCTGCACATCTTCAGGTTCTGACCCATGTAGGGCCGTGGAACTCTGCAGAATTCCCTGAGAACCTTGAGGTGTGGTATGGCTCACCTTAGGATCTCCAGCCATATCTGACTTACTGGCCCCCAGTAGACATTTCTACATCCTGAGGCTTTGACAGAGAAGGAGTGACGAGAGAAGCTGTGGTTTGTGTCCCCGACACTCTGCAGGCTCACATAGGACTATGCTCAGCTACATGACATAAGGTGAGTCAACCATTCAGCTCCCCTTCTCTCTTAGATATAGACCTGGCCCCCGAGTGTGCCAAAAAATCTGTAAAGACCCAGTATTATCAGGATTTGGGAAGGGAGGAGTGGATGCAGAGCTGGGACATCCAGCCTTAAACCTCCCAGGATTGAGGACACTCCTGGAGCCAGAGATTGGCAGTTCTAAAAGCTTCATAAGTCACTATGTCCATCTTCCTGCCTTGACCTCTGTATCAGGCTTTCTACATGACCCTTTCCCTTCATCCCCAGAGCACATGGTCATCCTTATCCTACAGAGGAGGAAACTGAGGCTCAGAGGGGGAAGGTCCTGGTCCAACACCACACAGCCTAGAAGTGGTGGAGCCTGGATTTGAACCCAGCTCTATCTGACTGCAAAGCATGAATTATCTCCATACACTGCCAGTCCCCAAAACTTGATCCCCAGATTGCAGACAGGAGAACAGCAAGGGTAGATTCCTCCAGTCCACAACCTGATCACCTCACCCAAAGTCCGTGACCATGAGAGGCCACCCAGGTACTTACGGTCCAGCCTGCACTAGGACAGAGCCTGCCTTCTCCACGCCAGTCTCCTTCAGGTTGGGGCAGGGCCCATTGAGCTCATGCGAGTGACCTTGAAAGTTTTCCTGCTCAAAGATGATGATCTGCAACGGGAAGCGAGACTCAGACCCTCATCATGATGAAGAGAAGTGACAGTTGGCTGGTAGACGTGGGGAGGGAGCTCAGAGAACCCAAAGGATGCTGAAGGGTTCACCTCCAGAGCGACAAACCAAACATAAAAATCAAACAGCCCTGGCTCTGGCTATAAGCAGCTGTGGGACCTTGAGCCTGCATTTGTCCTCTCTAAGCGTCAGTCTCCCCGTCTGTAAAATGGGAAATAAAGACAGAACCCAGGCTGGGTGTGGTGGCTCACACCTGTAATCCCAGCATTTTGGAAGGCTGAGGTGGGAGGATTGCTTGAGCCCAG